GCAGAGTAGATGCAGATTTACATAGTGAAACAGTGAGTCAAAATGTGGTGCATTGTCCAAACTGATCAGTGGCAGGAAAGGTTCCCATCTTTGTTTTCTCTTTCATCAAATTACCTGCTTCCTGACAGCCGCGGATTTTGCCAACCTATCAGAGCATGATGAGCAGATCTCATGAAGTGCCAGAAGGGCAACTCATTTTCATCCGGGATAGAGAAGAGCTCTACATCCGTGTTCGCAATGGTTTCAGGAAAATCCTTGTAAGTATGCATGTATGTGGAGGCTAAGTGTTTAGCTGTATATGGACAGCTGCCATAAAGAATGCTGTCTCTTTGTAGGATGGGAAGCAGATGCTGAGGGTAATGCAACACTGTTAATTTATATGGAAATGGAATATGAGGTTAGAAAGAAGCACTCCCCTATTGTGACAGGCAAAATACCCCTGCCCTGACTTGTTTTAGAATAGGCTTTCTGGAGGTGATAGTTTTCACAAATGAGTTTGGATGAAAAAGCTTAAGTGTTCAAGCCTTTTCAGAGGATGAAGATGTCTTTCAGATCCTAGCGGTTTTTGTGAATCCACCAACTCTTGGTAGTTGCCCATTCTTGCTGCAAACTTAAGCTGCATCCCTGTTTTCCTCTGTAACACGGGCTGTTGTTGTCAAAAATGGGTCCACAGTGCATTCTTAACAAAGGTCTCTTGTCTAAAGCATTGTGATGAAAGATCTGGTTTTTTTATTAGCAGGCAATGCTTAGTGGGTAGAAAGCATGTTTACTCTTTGGCTTTAACACACAGACAGACAGACAGACACACACACACACACACACACACACACACATGTCCCATGCGCACACACCCAGTTGTTTCATACTTATTCAGACAACCCTTGTTCCTTTAAATGTCACTCTTGTCATATTGCCAAGAGACAGTTGTTTTGCCTGCTAGGAAGTTAGGTCTTTATCTGTTTGGTACCTTGTTGTTCAGATATGCGGTTGGTAACTATTTGTTCCCAGCCTTGGGTTGCATTGGGAAATTACAAAATTCATCCTGGAAAATAAAACAAACAAACAAAAACAATTGGGACTGATGCAGTGTAGTGTAGTGGTCACAGCTAAGGGAATAAATGGTGGGCTGCTCCAATACAGTGATAAGAAGACCAGCAGACAGGATTGTTACATAGGTTTTTGAAATAGATAAAAAGCACAGTATAAATGTTAAAATAATGACTCTGGGTTGATTTCAGCTTGAGGAAAGAATATCGCTCTCTGGTCCTGGGCTGGTAAGTGAAACGCTGTTATCTAGCATTATGCAATTTGGTGTTCATGTGTTCAGTTAGCATATTTTTGCTTTCCCAAGTTCATTTTCAATCCAGGGGAGGCCTTTTTCCCAAAAGAAAGTGACCCCTATTTAAAAAGGCGCCTCTGTGGATCTAAAATGGCTCAGAGAAGGGCAAAAACATGTTAGGTTAGGAGTACTTGAGGGCAAGTACCCATGTTTTTCCAGGGGTTCAGACAAGGGTTGTGGTCCACTATAGTCCCCCAGGAGGCAATGAGCCACATATCAATAAATGGCTTGTCTTAAAATGTAATCAAGTCTCTGTCTTTGTGTATGTCTGGTTTTTTAAAATTTTAAATGTAACATGTTAAAAATGTATTATAAATATGAAATACATGCACTCACCAGCAATTATATGGAAAATATATGGCTTTATTAAGAAAGAATGGCATATAACATGGGGTGGGGGGTGGGGGTGGAATCCTTCGAAATTACTTTAAAATGCCTAAAATGCAATTTGAAAATAATTTTGAAAAATACATAACATATTAAACATACAAGTTATGCCATTACAATCCCTTACATTACTTCTGAAATAAAAGTTTCTGATCTCCTTGTTACTGCCCCCAAAGGTAAATTGTTGCAGATAACTATATTACTTTAAATCACTACTTTACATCTCTGCTCTCAAGGTCAGCTCATAGCAAAAATCTGGGGGTGCAATTGAATGATCTGGTCACAGCAGAGCACATAAGATTTCACATCACCTTTAGTGAGTTATAGCACGAGGGAGCACATTGTAGTTCAAACTCCATGGCACAGACAGGAAGGCACACAGAAGATGGTGCAGCAGTATTATTCAAAGTGCTGATTATGACCTATATGGCTTTGGTCCAGGCTATCTGATAGACCGAATCTCCCAATATGAGCCTCTTCAGACCCTGGGATTCACAAAAGTCCCTTCTCTCAATCCTGCAACTTTCATGGTTACAGCTGTTAATTGTTTTAAGCTGTATTGATTAACTTTTAAAATATTTTAGAGTTTTAAAATGTGGTTACTAGTTTAATTTGGTTTAAAGGTTGACTTTTTGTATGTTTTTAATTTTAATATTTTTAATGTGAAAGCTCCCTTGAGTCTCACTCTGGGTGGGAAAAGGTGGGAACACAAAGATGCTGATGGTAATAATGATTTTCATTCCATTCTAGGACAATGAGGTGTATGATAGACTTTCCAGCGTCCACCATTCACATGGAGACACAGCATCCTCTGGATCTCAGCGCACATTCCCGCAACATTTGCCTGTGCATTCACGCCGAGAGTCTAGCACTTACTCCACTGCCAAGCCGTGGAGAGGGGATGAAGGGGCCACCAATCAGCACCGCCTTCCCGAGCAACCTGCTATCCAACAACCTCATCAAGGCGCCCATCACCAACAAGAGCCACTGAATGCCTTCTTTCACCAACCCGAGCCTGTGCCTTCTGCTGTCCACACTCATCATGACTTCCAACCTGCTGTGAGTGTGCCCTATACATATTTTGGTAGCTTCTGAAGCTGCTGGGGTTGGGAGCACTATCATTACGATGGTGTCTCAACTGACCTGGCAGAAAGAGGTTTGTATGGTGGTATATAAGTTTAGCTGACTCTAGTAACCAAGGGCTGCCTCAGATTGGATGAGATAAGAAGTGTTGGCCTGGTCCAGGGACAATGAGAACAACTAGTATGACAACAGTAGACAAAGTGTGGCTTGGAGATCTTGATTGAACTGTAGAATAGTGTAACCAGTTCTGAAGGATGGTGTGAGCTTCAGTCCCAAAATCCTCATGTAGGGTTGAAAGTATTGTTCACCTCAGTGAGTTTGTTTGTTTTTTCCTTCAGCAGCAATAGGGATGGAAAGACTTAAGGCTGCATAATCAAAAATGACCCTGACCCCCCTGAAAAAGTCCAGACATGGAAACTGCTTGTGGGCATTCTGTGTATGGCTGTGTGTGTGTGCAAAGGGATCTTGTAGTGCATTTGAGACTGAGACAAAGAAGTTGATAGCATAAGCTTTTGTAGACTGTTTTAACTTTGTCAGATGTATTAATTGCCTATTATGACACTAGCTAACATCCCAGCTTCGTGGGAGCTCTCTTGGTCAGTTTATCACATTTCCTTTTTGGTCCTACATCTAGGGCCTTTCCACACAGCCATATAACCCAGAATATCAAGGCAGAAAATCACACAATATCTGCTTTGAACTGAGTTCAAAGCAGATATTGTTTGATCTGCCAAATATTTCAGTTCAAAACAGAAAATGTAGGATTTTATTCAGCTGTGTGGAAGGGGCCACAGTAACTCCTTTCACCACTCATATGGCTATCCATTCACTCTGGCTTTTGGCCACTCTGAGTCCCACCTTGGGGGGTAGAAGTGCATGAAATAAAAATAAATAAACACATTTTCTTTTGTCTTTGTCCCCCAGCAACCATAATTAAAATTGAAATTGATACCTCATTACCCTACCCACATTTCAATTACTATTCATACATTTTGTTGTTGTTCATTCGTTCAGTCGTCTCCGACTCTTCGTGACCTCATGGACCAGCCCACGCCAGAGCTCCCATACCACCTACTTATTTATAGCTATAAAGGTCTGCTCTTAGACACCTCACTCCAGGGATATGATGAAGTATGAAATCTTAGGCTACCAACTTTTTCTCTGTCTCTCAAAAGGTGCTGCTACATGCCTTTGCATTCTGATTCCGACTAACATGACTGTGTGTGTGTGTGTGTGTGTGTGTGTGTGTGTGAAAGAGAGGGGGGAAGGGGAAGCTGTATGCTTGTGCCCCATTTCAGACAGAAAGCTGCTTTTTCTGATCTCAAAAAGGGGCCCAAGTTGTTGGGTAAGCATTCCTATTTGAGATCTCCTGGCACAGTTAGAAAGCAACACAACACATTAGCCAGACTAGAAAGCAGCTGTTTTCTTTTCCTGGAAGCAATGCAAGCATTGGATTTTTTTTGGGACAAATTTCAGATTCTGATATTTTCCTTCCTGCTTTTGGGTAAAAAGAGACACAAAAGGGGAAGGGTATATTTCCCTAATCACAAAATGGAAATGGAAATTAGGAAGCAGGGGTGGGGAGAGCATAATTAACATGCACACAGTGAATTACTTGGAATGTACTGTTAAATGTATATCAACAATTCAAGGAAGTGTAAACATTTTTCATCATTTTTCTATTTGTATTAAATTGGATATTATTTTTTAAAAGAAATGCAGTACATTTCTGGCATTTATTTCACAGAATGTATCTTAGCTCCATTTTGTGGTAGCTGCACTGAGACACGGGATACTATTTTGTACTGTTTCCTGTGTAATTTATTTATTCAATTGCTGGTCTCTCAGCCTTCTCCCAAGAGGTTCTAGGCAACAATCTTAAACTTTCTCATCTGCACAAGTTATAAAAAGTTTCCGTATGTCATTGTAGTTATCCCTTATCTTTTATCTTAAATGTAACTTCCCAAACTCTTTATTTATTGCATGTTGACATAGCGGACTCTGCCCTGCCACGCGCTTTAGTCTCACATCAATCCTGGGAAGTAGATTAGGATAGTCCAGATAGTAATGTGGGTGGCTGACAAAATAAATTGTGGTTTCCTCAATGCTGATTTGCCTCTCTCTCTAATCACTGCACCATGCTGGCTTCCTTTGGGCCCAACTGTTGATCTTCCTGGGAACATCTCTTGAGCAATGTCTGAGAGGACTGGATGTCCCCATTTGACAAGATTGCCATTGCCAGGAAGCAGAGTAGAGGCCAGCCAAGATGCAATGAGAACCAGCACCCATTCTTAGCTGCTTGAATTGTGTTGCTCATGATTCAGCCTTACTTCTTAGTGCCTCGTCTAATCTAGAGAACAGTGACATCAGTATGGTACTAGCAGTATTAGAACTTAACTCTTTCTCACGCGTTGGTCTTCTTTTTGCCTTTGCAGCTCCACCTTATTGCTCTGAACACTCCCTTGAGTGGCAGCATGCGGGGAATCCGGGGAGCAGACTTCCAGTGCTTCCAGCAAGCCCGGGAGGTTGGATTGACGGGTACTTTCAGAGCATTCCTCTCCTCTCGCCTGCAAGACCTCTATAGCATCGTGCGTAGAGCCGACAGGAGCACAGTGCCCATTGTCAATCTCAGGGTAGGTGTGGTCAAGGCCAACTTTAATTTTATCTCCCTTTTTGACAGTTATTAGTCACCAGAAGCTGGATGACCACCTATCTGGGAAGGTGTCAAAATGGGCTTTCTGCATCACACAGGGTAGATGATTTTTTTGAGGTTCTTCCTCTGTTACCAGGTAAAATCAGCAAACAAGGAGGATCTTCTCAGGATTTCTGGAGGACACCCTGCCTCCTTAGAGAACAGCAGGATCTTAGTGGAGCTCATAAATGAGAATGCACTTTCCTCACACCATAAGAGAGACAGAGAAAGGAGACTCCTCTGTTCAGGATTGTGAAATACTTCTACTATCTTGATCTTAATTCATGGCATGGAGCCACTACCTGAATATAAGGAAAATGTAAAATAATTCGAGGCAGCTCATTTTAATAGTTTTGAAATTAAGGGGATTTTTTGTAGCTGCTCGATGGTTTCAACAATGCAGAATGTGTTTAGTTCGAAGAAGTGCAAACCACACTTCAATATTTATATCCAGCTTTACTGCAGAGGAATAAAAAACGGATTAGCGAATAGCTGGCATATTTTGCGTATTAGACTCATTTCATGGGAGGACTTGCTGTTCAGGAAAATCCTTTCTGGCATTTTTCCCAATGCATGAGTTTCATACAAGTTGGGGAATAGTAGTATCAGACTTTCAAAGAGCAATGAGGAACAGTTGGTCCTAGTCATAGCCACTCAGTTTCCAAAACGATGGAACAGAATTGGTTTTGTGAAAAGCTGCTTTAATGTACTGGCTACTTTGCCTGGCAACAGTGTTCCAAGGGTCCCTTCCAGACCTTTTCCCTGAAATCCTTTGACTGGAGATTGCAGGGATTGAACTTTGCTGCACAAGTCGTATGTTTTCCCAGTGAATCATCAATTTAGCAATTAAAGGCGGGGGATTTTCCTCAGGCAGAGTGAAATTATTCCAGACAGTCAGAAAGCTATTCCTGCAATAATGGTTAGGTGAATATATCCTTTCCTCATTCCTTTTCTAGGATGAAGTGCTGTTTAATAACTGGGAGAACCTCTTCTCAGGCTCTGAGGCTTCGTTCAGAACTGGAGTTCGGATTCTTTCCTTTGACGGAAGGGATGTCCTGAGAAACCCTGCATGGTAGGTTGGAGATGGGGACAGGACTTTTTTCATCTTGGGAATGTGTGTTGGTTGCATTTTGCCATCTTACTTGTTGGGCCTGGTCTTTTTATGGCTCCAAAACACTAAAAAGCCTCAAAGCCAAGTCGCCTCTTTGCCTGCTCTTCACAAACAGAATGGATGTGTTTACAGCTGCTGGTTTGTTTGCTTGTTCCAATACCACCCGATGTTCCTTTTGCAGTGCTAAATGTTTTTAGACATGGCGGGGGAGGAGGCGGAATTGCTTTGCCAGGCGTTTTTGGTTTTGATAGTCCCTGTTCAATCTAAATCACATTTGCAGAATTCCCCCCCCCCCCCCGCAAAGAGCGAGTCCAAATAATAAAAAGAGGTAGAGCAAATGGCTTTGATCAATCATTTATTTATACACACCATTTATTTTGCTGAATATTGTTTTGGACTAAAAACTGTGAGTATTACAGTCCAAAAACAGAATACATTTCAAGCTCTGCTGTGATACTCTACCCAGGCCTCTTTTACCTTGTGTATGTGCCTGTAACATTGTCTGTTGGCTTATGGTGACCCCCATGAATTTTATGGGGTTTTAAAGACAAGGAATACTCCCATTTGCCATTGCTTGCCTCTGAATGTTTGCCTACAATACCTGGTTTTCCTTGGCCGGCCCCCATCAAGTACTAAGAAGGGCATTGACTATGACAACCAATATGCCATCTGGTACAGCAGGCCCTGATACAAAACCATAATGTCAAGGAGTTGTCATTGCCAGACCTGGAAAGATGTTGTGGTTACATATGAATTGATTCTAATTTTGAATGCATTTCAGGCCTCAGAAGTACATCTGGCATGGCTCTGATTCCAAGGGACGCCGGCTAACAGAGAGCTACTGTGAGACGTGGCGGACGGATGACACAGTGGTGACAGGCCAGGCTTCTTCGTTGGCATCGGGCAAGCTGCTGGAGCAGAAGAGCAGCAACTGCAAAAATGCCTATATCGTCCTCTGCATTGAAAACAGCTTCATGACTTCTTCCAAAAAATAAAAGCACACATACACACACAAACACACTCGGAAGCGCTGACTGCAAGTGGAGGATGGGAACCCCAATGTTTCCTTTAAGGAGCGGGAATGAGCCATGGTCCCCTTACCCCCCAATCAGGATAATGTCTCCAGCCAGCCCCGCCAAGCAGATAAACTCGAGCAAAAAAGCCAAAGAGTGTCTTCCTATGATTCCCAGTGCAGCTCTGGTGCTGAATGTTTATGTATTGTTTGTTTATGTGTTCCTCTTGGCAAGGTTGCCCTGAATACCAGTGTACAGGCTTGCTGGAGGGGAAGGGGCAGAACAGGCTTGTGAATGCAAAGCAATCTCCAGGCAAGAGTGCTGCACAAAATAGCCCACCCCTCTTTTTTAACCCTTTAACTGGCTTGAATTTCTGTTTGTTTCCCTCCCTTCCATAACTACTACTATGAAAAAAGAAAGCCAAGACCAAGTGGGACATGCCAGAATTTCTATTTATTTTGAGTTGACTTAACAGAAGATGGTTTCTGGGAAGCAGAGTGCTGGGTAATGGGGTTAATGCTCTTTGGAGCCTGCAAATGTGGGCACAGTCTGTGGAAGCTTCTGCAGGAAAAGGGCCCCACAGCTAGGCACTTGTGGCAGCCTTTGCCTTTATATTTAGGAGTGTGGTGCTCAAGGACATAAACTAGACCCTGCTGGACATGGCCATAGTTAAAAGGCTTTTCTGTGTATGCCTAGCACACATAGCTAAAAACAAAGTGGGGTCACCAGATTATCCTTGGTAATCCTTCTGAGAATAATCACTATATACAATGTGTTTACAAGACAGCCTCCCCAACTACTCGCCGCTGCCTAACTCACAAGCTGACTTAACTGCTCATGCATTACTATCTCCATAGCCTGTTTACAATTTCTGTGGCTGAACTGATTCTAACCTCTGCTGAGATAATAGTTACACCGCACAGTTTTCTCTCTTTTCACTTCTCCCTAATTCACTATGTCTTAGCTTTGCAAGTGAGCCAGAGATAGTAAATATTACAAACTGACAGGTGATTTTACCAAGATGTTTTCCGTATGAATCCAGGAAAGAAACTGAAATAGTGCAAAATTGATGTTTTAAAAAATCAATGTTGATTTTTTAAAAATCTTTAAAAAAATTTTTAGAGACAATGTCACACTTTACTTGACAGTTTCCTAATGAACGAGCAAATATAAAAGCTTTGCCAAAGAGTGCAACTATTGCCACCCTGTCTTTTGACCTCACAGGAGTGACCATACTGGAGTTGCCAAGCCCCGAGTGTTGCATGTAGAAGGCCCTTCTGCCTTAAAAGAATCAACGAACAGACACTGCAAAAGGTCCACATGTGGAGAGCTGTCTGTATGGCTTTGTTGACAGAGCCAGATCTACTCGGAGGAAGCGGCTTACGAGCGCTCCAACTGTGATGCTCCATCAAGGGATCTCTCTCAGATTTTTATTAAACCCTTGTCTTAATCTGCACCAGATCTAAAATCTCTTAGCAACTGTTCCCAAATCAGAATTAGGCCCAGCCCCGTCCCAATTGAGAATCACCTTCCCGACTCCTACCCACCTCCAGCACTGTGGCAGGAACCACTAGGTAATAAGCCATTCCAAACAGCTGTAAGTTCAGCCTCTCTTCCAAAGTATTAAAGCAAAAAGGGTGTTGTGATTTTACGACATGGGAACAGCTGGTATACAAATAAATGACTACTGTCTTGTGCTATACAGTATAAAAAGGTGTGTGTACTTTTTGGGATTGCAAATCTCAAATTACAATCATGGCAGGAGGATTCTGGGAGCTAGAATTCAAACAAAATAGTACAATATGTCCAATATCTGATATAAAACTATTTTTTTAGGAGGAGGTTCATAGGCAGGTTCATAGCGCAGCACCCTTGACCCCAAAGCACTCAGAGATCTTCCTATTTTATAGGCCCCACTGTGACTGAACACCTGATATCTAGACAGCGCAACCCATCCACCACTTCAGTGCCAGAATGCTTCTTGCCTGCCAGTTGTTTTAAACACTAACGTGCAAACCATTTGTGTTGGTTTTCAGACAGCAAGGTGCTAAATTTCTACCGAGCTTTGTTATTTTCATTATTGTAATGAACTTTTTTTTAATACCTGGGGGCAGGAGGGAAAAGAACCTGTGGAAGTCACACAGTCAGTTTCTAACTGTCTACTGTATTTTGTGAAATTTCAACACAGTTCGTTAAAGACTATGGGACTCTATATCTTTTGTCAGTTGTGTGTTGTGTTCTATAAACTGTTTTCTAAAGGCACTGAATAAAGGAAAGTATTCTCTTTTAAATATTTGGTGTCCTTATGCATGGGAATCTAGAGAGTGGTGGGCCTTAATTGAATGGATTAATAAAAGAGATGCCTCTGAGTAAGTGCAGAGTGCCTTTCAAAAATGGCATGAAGATGGGACAGAAATCCAACGGCATTACAGTGAGTTGTACCTCTTTAAAATTAAGTATTTAACTACAGAAGTTCCCAAGCAGACCCTGGAGTTCTAATTTTTGGCACGCTGTCATTATCCTGGGACACTGAAAATGGCTTGAAAATAAACCCTGGTGTTTTATGGCTGTGAGTAGAGGGAGAACAGAAGGAGAAACTATGTGTCAGAACAAAACACCAGCTCCTGATTGCTAAGAAGGAGCCCTAGATACTGTCTTTGGTCCTCCTTTATTCCCCCCAGTCATTTCCCCTGTGGAGCTGAAGACCTGCATCTGAGGCCCCTTTCACACAGCTGCATAAAATCCACACTGAACTGGATTATATGGCAGTGTGGACCCAGATAACACAGTTATCAGAGTCTACACTGTAATGGCATTGAATGATGGATTATATGCCTTGATATTCTAGGTTATATGGCTGCGCGGAAGGATCCTGAGCCGGCATGGTGGGAAAGACTGGAATGCCAAAGGCCAATTCAAGAAGAAACTCAGTTTTCTTGGGCAAGCAGATTCAACAAAGGTTGAATCGTAAAGCATAACACTCAAAAACAGGAACTCCAGACAAGAAACAATCAGGGACAGCTAATCACCTCTCAACAAAGGACTCCCCCCAAGGAGTAAAAAGCCACACCTTAAAACTGCCAGGTCATTAAATGGTAATCAAGGTGGCCAACTGCAACATTCACACCTAGCTCCAACAGACAAGAGTTCTTTCTCCCACCCTGGACATTCCACAGATATATAAACCCACTTTTCTTAGTTTCCAACAGACCTTACAACCTCTGAGGATAGATGCAGGCAAAACATCAGGAGATAATGCTTCTGGAACATGGCCACACAGCCCGAAAAACTTACAACCTATTGAATCCTTTGTTGGACATTCCACACCTGGACATTCCACATCTACATAAACCTCACTTACCTAGTTTCCAAAAGACCTCACAACTTCTGGGGATGCCTGCCACAGATGTGTGAGAAGTGTCAGGAGAGAATGCTTCTGGAACATGGCCATAAAGCCCAGAAAACTCACAGCAACCCAATCCTCAACAAAGGGTGCTAACTCAAGAATTCCAGCGCAGTACATTTACTGGTGTCAAATTAATACAGAAACTTTGAAAAAGTTAAAACAACTTTGTCTATTTGTAAAAAAAAAAAAGTGCTTGCCCTGTCCGTTGGCTCCCCTGTAGGTGAAGAGGAGTAACAGCAACATTTAAAATCAAATCCACGATTGCTGAATGCACACCCACAGATTCAGCAATGCTGTCCCTGCAAATGGCAGCTTTGGTCAATATGTGGGGCAGTGGAATGACTGTACACTGAAGACCCAGACCAAGTGCAGGAATCTGCAGTCTGTCAGCTACACACTGCATGTTCCTTTTCTTAATGTCAAGCACTGCTTTTATCTCCTTCGTTTCTACAGCAACATGATATTCTGGAAATCAAAGGTGTCTTGACCTTGTATGTGCTGATTGTCATGCGAGTAAGGCTCAGTCCCGTCCTAATTGGGAGCGTGCATGGAGATCCCTCTCTTCTCTGCCATCCGTTGGGTTTCTCAGGCTTCGGAGCTAGCCAGCTCTGTATTTTTGTCCTTGCCCAGGGTTTCCACAACTGGGCTGCAGAGTTCCTCCGCGGGTGGCGCCTCTTGCGGCTTTCTGCACACATTGTGCCTCATGGCCACATACAAGCTTGCTGCAAGGTACACCACAGCAAGGAGTGTGAAGTAGCCAAAGTACACATAGAACTGGAAAAGGGGAGGGGAGAGAGAGAGAGGCAACACTGAAATGAAAGCAAAAACACAGCACCAAAAAGAACTGAAATTGCAATGGCTCTTTATCAAAAACAAAGAGAAGCACAAAACATTGCTGAAAAAGATCCACAGAAGGAATGTGCTGGATTAGACCAAAGGCTTATCAGATCACCATCCTGCTTTGCAAGTTTACTTTTTGACCAGGAATCTCAGAATGCTGAAGAATTCTGGGTGCTGTAGTCAAAGGCCAGAATCTTGTTAGTACACTGTGCTACCAAAAGATGGGAGCACAGTAGCAATATAATAATAATAATAATAATAATAATAATAATAATAATAATAATAATAAAACAACAACAACAACAACAAATACAAAGGCTGCAAAGACTGGCACAAGCCAGTAAAGGTGATCCCAATGGTGATCAGCACACTTGGTGCAGTGCCTAAAGACCTTGGCCTGCACTCAAACACAATCGGCGCTGACAAATTTACCATTTGATAGCTGCAAAAGGCCACCCTACTGGGATCTGCACACATTATTTGCTGATACATCACACAGTCCTAGATACTTGGGAAGTGTCTGAAGTGTGATCAAATGCAAAAGCCAGCATGCTGTGTACTAATTTTGTGTTTCAAATAATACACTACTACTACTACTAATAATAATAATAATAATAATAATAATAATAATAATAATAACATTATTTGTATCCCACCCCATCTCCCCAAGGAGACTTGGAAAGTCTCACAGCAATATAATTATACAAATCATCTCAACGACGACAACACACATAAATATAACCAATACAATTAAATCAACAGTTAATAACGAGGCAAACAATATAACAATAAAGCAGAATTTTAAAATTACAGAAAACAACATTCATTTAAAATCCCAGCCACTGTTCAAGTGAAAAGGAACAGTAAGATCCAATTTTAGATTTATCTCATATTTCCATAAAGGAAATGAGGCACTGGGGAAATAAGCTGCTGGTCTAGCTTACATCCTCACTTCTGTGTGACTCTAGGAAAAATGCAGCAACTTGATTTGGGATCCAAAGTAAGATTTCCAAGCTCTGCGACCCAGTTGCCTTTTGTGCAAAGCTCCCAAGTGGGTAAACTGACTTCAGTCCTCCCAACTTTTGTCTGCTGGCACAGCAGCTCTGAAAACGGTGTTCTCTGTGAATGAAAGAAAGCCAAATCTCCTTCCTGTGAAGCACAGGAATTCCACCTAAAAATCACAACTGGTGCAGGGGACATAAATCCTGCCATTTTCGCTCGCTTTCCCCCCTTGCCACATAAATCAAGCTTCTTCCATTAATCCACCAGAGTATCTGCTTTGCAGATTTCCAATGTTTATGCATAATCCTTTTACTGTTGATGTTTTCCCTTTTAAGACCATGCAAGATAAATAAGCAAATGGGGATCATTTACAGTAATTGTATCTATGTTTCTGGAGGTAGTTTTGTTTGTCCAGTAGTTTCCCTGGCAACAAATTTTACTCAAATCATAGGACTGGCATATTACAGCAAGACTCTTGCACCCACGGTTAAACCTTTGAAGTAATTCAATGGAATGGTTGCAGGTCAACTTGGGAACATATGGCAAGGTTGGGGCAGAATTTATTCATTTATTTATGCCATTTATATGCCACCCTTCTCACCCCGAAGGGGACTCAGGATGGCTTATAAGTTATATGTAAATACAATATATTATATTATTAGCATAGCACAAAATTAGTACTATACATTCCCATATTGTACTATACCACTATACTGTAATAATATTAGTAATATTACATGTGATATGAAATATATAATTATTATATTGTATTATTAGTATTATATTATAATATTATTATCAATATTATACGTGTATACAATATTTATTTATTTATTTATTTAAAACTTTTATATCCCGATCTTCTCTACCTCCATAGAGAGACTCAGACCGGCTCACAGCAAGGATTCAATGCTAATAATACAGTCTAAAACATCATACAACAGTAAAATATTAAAATACATATATAATAAAATACATCCCATCATTACTACCATTGCTTCCGTTACATTAGTGATATGCAAAGTAGTGTTCCGTGGACTATTATTAATCCATTAACTTCCAGTCCTCAGTGAGTTGCCAGAAAGAAACAGTTGTAGCCAATGGGCCACCCCTCAACACTAGATATTTTGGGAAGCTATCTGGTGTTGAGGGTTTAGCTCCAATTAGGGACACTTCAACCAAAATCATTGGAGGAAACTTCTGAGTGAATTTGAAAATAATTGTGCTGTTTGAGGGAAGTGTACAAACCAAGAGGCAAAAGAAAGTGCTGGGTCAAGCAAAGCAGGAGAGGGCCGTTTTGAATTGAACCTCTCTAACTCACCAAGTATCTTCATAGCTACCCTACTATGAACACCGTGTGAACATGTGCCCCTTACCTGAGGGTGGACTGAAAGAGCCAGGCCCCTTTTATCTGTTATGATGATGGTGATGATAGTCTTGAGAACTGTGGCAAGGAAAGTGTTGATTCCAAACACCAACGCACAGAGTTCTTTGGAGAGGGAAGTTGCAATCTGAAAGCTTTAACAAAAGACAGAAGAATGGAAGTCACTTTGGTCAGCAAGCGCAAAAGATACTAAGGACAGAAAAGACTGACTTTTTGGATAGTGGTCTCGGCTGGCATGCTAAAGCACTAATACCGGGAACTGCTGAAAAGATTTTGTATTAAAATCTGAGGTGCTAAATTACAATACAGCGGGTGCTAGCAGTTTTGTGATGGCCACAGAAATTAGCTCGGCAAATAAGAAAGGAAAGTTTTGGATGACACAACACAACTAGGAACAATGTCTAGAAGTCATTAAAGCAGTTACAAATGCATTACTAATGCATAACTACCTTAGTAATGTAGCCCAACACTGCCTCCATTCCACTTACTGGGCAGCAGTTGCAATGAATTCTGGGAAGCAGCTGAAAGATGTTTCCATCCTTTCAACATGGGCAATCTTGGGTGACACAATAAAAGGTGTCCCTGTTCCAATTCTTCCTTCCACCAGATCTCTCTCAAAGATAGGAGGTCAGAAAATCAGTCTTCTGGTTCCCAAACAATGGCAAGGGAACAGATCCCAGTAGATCCCAGTGGCTGCTGCCTGGTAAGTGAGGACTGGGAGGCTCACAATCCCTATATTTTAATCGTGTCTAATATGTTGTAATTTTAAACTATTTTTAGGTGAATTTGTTGTTTTGAGGCACCGTGTATGTGCCATTGTAAGCTGCCTTGAGTCCCCCTGCTGGGGTAGAGAAAGGCAGGTTATAAATATGGCAAATAAATAATAAAAGAAATATATATCCCCTAAACAAGTGAATATAGAGGGATCGTGGATATAAGTCAGGCATAGGTTATATATTTGGAATTGCCTTTGTGAATACCAGCCACAAATCACAATACCTACAACCTGTTGCCTTTGAAAGATACTGGAAAAATATCTTAAAGCTGTGGTATTTTGCATTTAGGTATATCCTTATCTGTCAGTCATTTTCCAGAGATTAGTTCATATCTCTTGAACATTTATTGTCATATTTCTGGTATATATTTTAAAAAACAAACAAACCAGAATCCTCTAATGACATACACGTCATGGGAATAAAAAAAAGATTAGATATACTGGTACTTAGATCCTTGTCATCCCTAATATACGTAATTGATTTATCATACAGATCACTAGCATCTTTACATGTGCCATCTATCTATCTATCTATCTATCTATCTATCTATCTATCTATCTATCTATCTATCTATCTATCTATCTGCCACGTGTGTATATATATATATAGGGGGGGGGTGTGTGAATCATATTGGCAATCCCAAATACAGCAGATTTACTAAATCAACAGGATTTAACTAAATGTTGCTTTACTATTCCATAGTTAAATCAATGGATCGACTCTGGTTGGGACTATTAGCAACATTTAAATTCGTCTTGAGAAGCCTTCTTTGAACAAAGAACGAATATTAGAAAGACAAGCTGTTCTATGCAATTACCCATCAGGCACAAAAACAGGCAGATGTATATACTTTCTCCCCTCATGATGAAATAATGAGAAGTACTTTTTCCAGAGACCGACGGGCCCTTTTTAGGTTCACCACAGCCTTCCTGTATAGACTTTGACAATTGTTCTTACCACTCACATAGCTATGGGGACCAGAAACTGGTAGGAACCCCGGAAAAGGATGTAGCCTGTATAACATAGCCAGATGTTGCCTGTTGTGCTCATCAGCAAAAGCAAGCCTGCCTGGAATGCCGTCACGACAGCAATCATGAGCTCTGACCAGACCGTCCAGCGGATTTTCACATATCCAGCAGCAAAGGAGGTGATGGCACCTGGGAAAAGACACAACAGTCGCCAAAACAGATCAACACCCAGATGTCACCCAACAGACCCTCTCAAGTCAGTTCAGTTTTTTAAAGTGACATATCCACCATCTTTATACACCAGCAAACATAAACTGAACCTAAAACATTTCATCATTCTGATCATGACATGTTTTTTGGATTTTTTGGGTTTTTCAGCTAGACTTGAACTTTACTGAAATCAGCAGGTTTGTCCCAATATCATGGGGAAGAGGAGAATGGCCTTCAGACCCAAGAAAAATCTGCACCGGAGACGTAGCTGAATAATTGCATGCTACAGTTCTAGCTGAGGCTTATGCACCTGAAGCTTGAGTATCATGTTCTGTCAATGCATCTGAGGAAGTGGATTGTTCACAAAAATTTAAGATAAAATAAATCTGTTAGTCTTAATGGTGCCAGAATATTATTTCTTATACTTCTTTAATGTCCTTTCATGACTCAACTATACAACCAAACAGCATTTTTAAATGTAAGACCATAGCAACATTCAAGTGGATGTTATGTTTAGAACAAAACGTGATATTGTGGATTGGGAAACTGCAGAACGCAAGGGCAGCGCTATTTCTAAGCATAACTTCCTTCAGACAAGACAGCTAAAAGAAGCTGCAACCAACCAGCAATTGTTCTATTTCCTCCTTGGCAACAGCACTTTTCTCTGCCTTGGGCCATGGATTGAAGTTGGGACCTTTTACATGCTGACCATGTTTCTCTACTGCAGAGATGTGATGCACATACCCACAGGGGTCCAATATACACAGACCTTGTGGAGTGAGTCAGAAAGTTTATCACTTAGATAAATAATCAACATCTGAATGTCTTGGAGAAAACAAAGAACAAAACCAAAGGTTGGGTGCTTTAGTTGTGCGTTCCTACATGGCGGAATAGGATTGGAGCAGACAGCCCTATCAGTATCTTCCAGTTCTGAGATCTTACGACTCTAAGTTGTGTGAGGGCATTCAAATTCCCATAGTAAAAAATTGGCTTGGGTCACCTGAGAACATCTCAGTGACTTCCACAATAGTGGCTGCATATTTTAAAGTCACCACAATAATATCTGCATTGCAACTATCAGATCTTCTCAGCACCACAGTTCTAGAAGTGCTGGTGACCTAACTCACACAATATAGTCCCATGCAAGCAGATCCGGGGAGTTGTAATTTAAAGAAGTTCCTTTTCCAAGGTCTGCTTCTATGGTGTCCCAAATGATCTGGAGATGCCGTGAGTTTCATGCTGGGGGCAGGGGGGAGATCCCTGTGTGTGGATCACACACAACAGAGGTTCTTACCTTTTGGGAGCAGGGGTCATGGACTCCCTATGAGTATCTGAAGAGAGGTATGGACCTTTACCTGCTGAAAAAGCACTTAAACACCAATTCCAGAGTAAAGTATATTGAAAAAATAAAAATAATTTTTTGCACCAATTCACAGAACCCCTAGAGGTCCATAGATCCCAAGTTAAGAACCACACGAACAGAGCTATCTTGAAGAGCCAAACCAAATGTTTAAGTCCAATCAATTTCAGCAGCACTTGCCTTTGCACGAGGGTGCCTGGGACAGTCTGCTAAGCCATTTTCATTTCATGTTTGAAGAACAATGAAGCAGAAAGAGCAAAAGAGAAAGAGGGAGATTAAATATACATCAAGCTTAAAAAGTGAAGAGAGGGGGAAGGTTCTATACCAAGGAGTGTAGAAGCAGCTTCCACACCTCCGTTGTAGACTTTTCTGTTATCGGTGGTAGAGTAAATGTCATTCCACAAAATATGCACATAATACAGTATCAAGTAGTAGCCGGCAGAATTGAATATCCACCAGAGAGACCAAAGCCTCAGCTGAGGCAAACGCACAATGGATGCCAGCTCCTTTAACATCCGGATAATGACCATATTCTGCCAAGCTGAGGCCTTCTGCCACCCCGGCTTCCCAGGGTTCATCTTGTCCAGCTCAGAAGGAGATGTGCCATTGCACACGGGGTCGCTTCTGTTGAAGAAGAGGCTGCGCTTAGGGCGCTTCAAGAACAGGGTGAGCACCAATGCAAAACACATGAAGCCCAGAGAAATATAGTTGAGAGTCATGAAAGTGGTGCCCCCGATGCTGAGACAGAGCTGTCCAAGCACAGAGCTGATGAAGACACCCATCAGGACGGAGGAGCGAGAGTAACTGGCCATCCGCTGATAACGCGATGGGGCAACCAGGGAGAAGATGTAGGAGGAGTAGGCCACCCGGGCAGCCATCGTGATGCCATAGAAGAATTCCATGAACTGCATGGCTAGGACATTGGTGCCAAAGATCAGCAGCAGCCAGATGGAGATGTGGCTCAAGCACTGCAGCACCAGCACTGGCTTGTACCGCAGATAGTCAGTCAGCAGGAAGATGGGCACCAGCACCACCATGTACGAATAGGAGAGAACAGGGGTGATTTCATTGGTGACCTGCAAGACATAAAACACAAGCCAATAGCAGCACCCTCTCATGGTGAACCCCAGGACTCTGCCACTGCAGAAAGCAAGGACCAAAGTGTTGCTACTGGGCAGGAGAGACACAGAACCCCAGAGGAAAATGACCACAGGTTGAGAATCCCTCATCTTGAATGTCAAAATTCAAAATACTCCAAAAACTAAAACTGTCCACATGGGTGGCTAGGATAGTAATTACTTTACTTTCCAGTGATTCAATGTACACAAACCTTGTTTCATACACAGAATTATTAAAAATTGCCTTCGGACTGATATGGGCGGGATATAAATGTTGTAAATAAATAAATAAATAAAATTGCCTTCAGGTTATATGAATAAGGTGTCTATGAAACATAAATGAATTTCATGTTTAGACTTGGGTTCCATCTCTGAAACATCTCGTTTTGTATGTACATGCAAACATAGGTATTCCAAAATCTTAAAAAAATAAATTCAAAATGCAATAGACGTCTGGTTTCAAGCATTTCAGATAAAGGATACTTGGAACAGAGGGCAACAATGGCTAGGAGAAGTGCTCATTGTAATCAATATTGAGAACCATGATCCTGAAGAGTTGCTTTAAATTATTATTATTAATAATAATATAATAGGTTGTTGTAGGTTTTTCCGGGCTATATGGCCATGTTCTGGAGGCAATTTTTCTCCTGACGTTTCGCCTGCATCTATGGCAAGCATCCTCAGAGGTAATGAGGTCTGGCCTCCAGAACATGGCCATATAGCCCGGAAAAACCTACAACAACCCATGGATTCCGGCCATGAAAGCCTTCGATAATACAATAATATAATAGTTTCAAAAATCATATAGGTAGGTCTACTGCAAGAGATCGGTAATTAATACGGTTTTAAATTCAGACAATGTACTTAGTTGTCGATCTCTTTTGGAAGATCATTCCACAATCTCAGGGTGGAGGAAGGAAAAGTCTTTTGGGTGACTGCTGCCACCCTAATAAAAGAAAAGAGCAATGTGCATATTGGGTTGAGAAAATATGTGCATGGACTATTTTGATTGCTGTTTACCAATATCACATCAGAATGAACAGAGAACACTTGCATAGATGTATAAGGTGCAATCCAACATTCCTTTAATGTAGTGTAAATATCCAGATGTGGAGACATGCTACACCAGCACTTCACAACCCCATACAGAACAGCAGCACTGCACAAGACATGAAAGAATTGCTTGTACGACAATGGCTTCAGACTACAAGAAAGGAGATTCCATCTGAACATTAGGAAGAGCTTCCTGACTGTGAGAGCTGTTCAGCAGTGGAACTCTCTGCCCTGGAGTACGGTGGAAACTCCTTCTTTGGAGGTTTTTAAACAGAGGCTGGGTGGCCATCTGTTGGGGGTGCTTTGAATGCAATTTTCCTGCTTCTTGGCAGGGGGTTGGACTGGATGGCCCACGAGGTCTCTTCCAACTCTATGATTTTATGATTCAATGAATGAGCAATTCTGCTTCTATCATCAGAGAATGTTGGTTGTGCTCTTGCCAATGATTTGCCCTGTATGCATGGCACATCTTATTCACACAGAAGTAACTAACTGAATATTGGTCCCTGGCTGCAATCCTGTTGGTTAGTCCTAACTTAAGTCAACCCACTGACTCAATGGTGGAATGCTTAGTCAACACAAAGGTAATTCCAACTCATTCAATGCTTTTGTCAGGGCAAACAATAGGATTCAGGGCACAGCAGGGCATTTGTACCAATACCAGAGCTCTCCTTTTTGGATTACAATTCCCAACATAGAAGGCTTTGGGAGTGGAGATTTAAAAAGTAACATTTCCAAACTCTAACACTGCATATGATTGTGTTCAGGAGAGGTGGGATCTAGTGCTATTCAAATTCGCTGGGTTACATAAAATGTACTAGAGCTCCCTGGGTTTTTAAAAAAGCACCTGCTGGGTCACAGCTTCTTAATTAAAAAGATTTACTCTTTTTTTAAAAACAAAAATCTTGGGCATCTTGTGCCTGAAGTCAACAGTAAATTCTGCCCTCCCCAAATGTCCCTTGCCAAGGTGGTCAGCTAAGCCTCTTCCAGCAACTTTATTGGAATTTGCTGTGTTTTGTCCATGGAAACAAAGCAGCAGGGGACTCTGATCCCTGGCCAAATAGGGCTTCCTGGAACATGGACAAACAATTTCTCCCCACAGGAGAGGAGGGATGCGGAAAGTGCAGGGGGACGGGCCCTGTAGGAAGCTATGTCCCATTTCCACAAAAAAAAAAAGCAAAGAGAGGAGATAGAGACTGCTTGTAAACAGATCTAACTCCCAACCATCTTGTCAGATTTTGTATTTGTTTTGACATCCAATCCATGAATGGTACAGGATTTCACCTATACATCAATCTTTAAGTAAACCATTGCCTCATACTGAAACTGATGTGAAAGTGTAAAATGAAGAAAATCCACTTATGTTTGACCCACCTATGACTATTGTACCATTTACATGGGAGTTGTAGTTTAGTGAGGCACCAGCACTTTGGCAGAGAAGGTTAAAGACTTTATAAAACTACAACTCTCATGATTCCATAGGGTTTGAGCCATGGAAGTTACAAGGGTGTCAGACTGAATTACTTCCACAGTGGAGATTCATTGTAGGTCTTAACAGCGATGTTAAAGGAGGAGGTATATAATATATCCTTGTTCAATGCCTCTCTTCCCCACTCCCAAAAGGCAGCTTTGAATCAGTGGAATATGCTACCCCAGTCATTTCCCAGCAGGATGGTATAGTTAGGAGGCATTTGGGCAACATCTTGCAGAAGAATGAAAACTGAGATTGCTCTTCCAAATCATCATCAACCCAGGAGAATGATGTCAGCATTCGTTTCCTAGCTGCAGAATTATAATTGTATAGGAATTGAATGTTTGCCTTCTGTGGTGGAATCTGTCCCAAGTCCTCTCGGAGAGACAGGGTGGAATATTTATTATTTATTTACAGCCAAATGTTACCCAAGTGTCTCCCATCTATCCATGGCTCATAAATCTCCATGACACTATGCTCTGGCACTTTTGGAGGTAGTGGGGAGGCATTCTGGTGAGCAATGCACTACTCTGCAATTACGTGATATGAGCTTCTGGTCAATGAATCTTCCATAAAATGGAAACTAGAAGGACATTCCTCATGATCTGGCTTGACTGCTCCACTAGACACTAAGAAGGCGAACTGTGATTGGGAATGTATTTGAAAATAGAGTTTTCGGGTATTTGAGTAGATCCTCCTCACCCCATGTGCTCACTCAGCACTTGCTGTTCATGCCTAGTCAATGTGTCTGAGAGAGCCTGAGCTTTGGCCCTTCCAAAGGGCAACACTAGACAACATGACGAAGCCATGGCACACAGATTGCCTCCCTTGCCCTCTTCTCTGTGCCAGATCTGGGAGGGACAAATTTCAGCACAAAGAGAAGCTGCATTGTCAAAGACATTAGAAATTACTAATACAACAGGAACAGGCCAAAGGTTTAACCATAAGCTAGAAGGAAATTAGGACAGTAGGTCAGACTTGTTCAGCAAGGCTACTGAAACATTTCAAATGACCTTTAGTGCAGTTCATAGTTCTCTAAAAGTAAAAGAAAACAAGAATATTTGCTCACTTAACTCCAGTAAACTGATAAATCAATATAGCATTTTACCAGCATTCCTCAGAATAAGGAGACTAAACATGCTATTGTCAATATTGTTGACAATGTGGTATTCATTACCATATTATAATACCATAATATGAAAAGGTGAAATTAGCGAAAATGTATTTTGAAAAATGTGGGAAATGCAGTAAATTGTCAAAGAAGTTGCAAAATTCCCACTGTAGCCTAGATCAAGGCTTCTCAAACTTTTCCACTTGGGACCCCTATTGGCCCGAGATATTTTTATTTGATCCTAAGTATAAAATTACACAAAATAGGTATCAAAACCAAACATTTATAGTTATGAAATCAGCACTTGCGAAACAAACTGCTTTTTCTTTTTATTAAGTACAGCTGAAGCAACTTCTGCAGAGCTAATTGTAAACACTGCACAACAGATAATATCCTACCATTTCCCCCAAAACTTGGGACTCAAGGTTGTGTACAAATAAAATGAGGTTGCAATTCTATACTTGCTTACCCGGGATTATGGTCAAATGAACTCTAACTCTCACTCTATTATATATAAAGTACTGAATTGCACTTTTTTCATATTAAGAGCGACTTCAGAAACTGCAAGTCACTTCTGGTGTGAGAGAATTGGCCATCTGCAAGGACCCAAGGGATGCCCAGATGTTGTGATGTTTTTACTATCCTTGTGGGAGGATTCTCTCATGTCCCTGCATGAGGAGCTGGAGCTGACTGAGGGAGCTAATCTGCGCTCTGGCTGGATTCGAATCTCCGACCTGTTGGTCTTCAGTCCTGCTGGCACAAGGGTTTAACCCACTGTGCCACTCCTAATGAATTTCACTGTTAGAAGTAAATCCAATGTTAATTCCAACTGGAGTTAATTCCAATTAATCAATGGGGCTGATTAGTTATGACAAATAGACCTCATTCATTTTATACACTATTTTGGGACTGGTTTTAGCCCTTGTCTACTGGGACAGATTATAAGACAAGAAAGCCTGAATTTCCTGCTGGACTGGTTAATACAATGTTCAAAAGAAAAACATGGAAACCACAAAGAAGTGATTAGTTGGTCTGATCAGCATGGGATCTTTATAATATTTGAAACTGTGACTAGTCAGCTTGGATTTTATTTTTAGAATGATCATTACATCTTATTTCTTTTTCTAACCCTCCTTAATTTCATTTTCTGGCCTGAACTGTATATTAATTTCATCCTCCTTCTCTCTCCCACTTTACCTCTCACATACCTCTGCCTGAATTGAACCTCTGCAACTGAGTGGTATAAATCCCACACTGTATTTACGTCCATACCACTAAACATTCTCTGAAATAATGCCAAAGCTAAAAAGGAAATTTAACAGGGACCTGAGCTGGATTTCCAAAGTCCCATTCTATCCCCTATCTAGTCAATCACACCAGAATTGTTGCTTGCAGGTAAAAGTAAATATTTGCATGCCGTGGCATTTTTACAGCCAGATGAAGGTTAACATTCCTTTATAGAGAAGGGGACAGTTCAAACATAACTATGATTTCATGCTCTAGAAATGAGCATTCATGAGCTTTGCATCTAAATGCATGGTAGTTCCCAGCCTCCTATCTTGATTTGAAACTAATGCAATTTACAAGAAGTCATACTATGGCATGAATTTACCCAGCACAAAGCAGGATAGTAAACTAGAGTTAGCCAGTCTGAATAAAACTACAAGCATTTCCAGATGAGGGTGCAACCATCTTTTTATACTGATTAATTGGACAAACTCACCTCTTCTTTTGTGAAGTTCTTCTCTGCTCCCAATAAGTACGGCGTGATGAAACTCTCTCCAGGTCGGATCTGGCCCATGAAGCCATAGAAACAGAGGTAGAAGACCAGGAGCTTCCACTTGGAATCTGGTGGAGGGTCAGGGGGCTGGTTTTCGGGTTTCTCATCCTCAGTAGACATGTCTCACAAATGTCACTTGCTCACTTGTTGAAAGAAGAAGTTCTCTTCAACCAATTCCAGGCAGCTAGCAGTGTTCTTGGGTCAGCTGCTTGGCCCTTTGGCTGCATACAGTCCCTAGCACTGGTCAGTGCGCCTGTAAAAAAGCAAACACATTGGCAATGCATCAGATTTCCTGTGAGGCAGCCTTATGAATTAATGCCTGTCACCATCCCAACAGGAATGTGTTTACTTAATTTTGCAAATACAAGTCTACAAGAACAAAAAACATTCTGTCTTCTCCTGCAGTCACTGAAATGTCTCTAAAGGCACACAGCACTTGTTTGTACACAACACCAAGAAATATCACAATTGAATGCTCAAAGGCTGCCAGATCAGGACATTAGAAATTGCCTGACCTAAACTTACTATGATACATGATCACTGCAGCAAGATTGCTAAGTGCACAAAGAAAGAATAACGCCATCAAAAGAGGACTGGTTGTTAAACCCCAATGAACAAAGTATTCACTTTGATCAGAGAAAAAAAAATAGAAACATTTTTGAATGAATATCTTTTTACAGAAAACAGAGAGTATAATATAATATAATATAATATAATATAATATAATATAATATAATATAATATAATAGGAGTGTGGTGTGGTTTCTGAGTGTATGGCTATGTTCTAGCAGTATTTTCTCCTGACATTTCACCTGCATCTGTGGCTGGCATCTTCAGAGGATCCTGTGAAGATGTCAGCTGAAACATTAGGAGAAACTGCTGCTAGAACACGGCCATACAGCCCAGAAACCACACAATACTCCAGTGATTCCGGCCGTGAAAGCCTTCAACAATACAACAATATAATAACTGGGTTTTGATATTAGTAGGTTTGGATTAGGAGAAGTAGTATAGGAAGTACTTCGTAGTCAGAGAAGTATGGATTTATATATTTAGACTTATAACCATGGGGGGGGGGGGGATATTCTAGCTGTTGTGTCCCTGTCCCCCCCCCCCCCCCCCCAAGAAGACTGTCACGAAACTGAGTTTGTGCAACCGCTTGGAAGAACTGACTGGTAAACATCTGCACCATCCTTTCACCTACTACATCAGATTCCTGCTTTTGGGCCAAAGAGGTTAGAATAGCTCAGAGTTTCTTGACCAGGCTTCCCAGGAACTGTAAGGCACAGGGTTTCATAAGAGATTGCAGACGGAATTATCCTTCTGCTGCTCACTTGCATGCTGAACAGATCTCCATCACTTGGGGCATCTACTGCCTTATAAAGTAGGTTTTGCATGGCATTTACTTTTGCCAAATTGTGACTATGTAGCATTAGTGAATAAAGAAATGTTACGATTTATAACTCTACATTATAAAACCCACAATTGCAATGAAGACGGCATTGTGGAGCATGTCTATCTCTATATAAGGATAAATACATAATCAGCATTAGGGTCCTTCTTTGGATCAGCTCTCCAACACAGCAAAGGTTGAGGAAGGTCAGGGAGGGCTTTGCTTTGGCATGCCTTTGGACAGATAATCATATGAGAAGTATGATGATATACTTTTTAAAACTAGTGTTTTCCATTTCTTTGGCTTCCAAAGCTTCTCACAGACTATTTATAAATTGCCCTGGCAATTTTGTAGATATCTGCAATACATAATACTTTTCTGGCAGCTACTGAATCAATCTGTAACATTTTGATAAGTGATATGTTTGTCTGAAAGGCAATTATTGGTCACTATAATTAGATATGTGTGGCAGAAATGTCAAAAAAAATCAATGCTTCTATATTAATGATTACAAGCAATTCAAGGCAATTTTCCCTTTAATCATAATTTCAGTGACACCCATATTTTGTGACAATTACCATGTCCAGAATTAAATGATGGGGAAACTGACAAGCCTTTATAAAACCCAAAGGAATCATTCAGCTAATATAATTTCTTTATATGCGATATCAAATGAGAATATTAGTCCAATGAGGCAGTTTCAGGAATAAGAACATAATGTGCTTCACTAATCTTTAGCATGATTAAAGTGCTCTAGAAAAATGAAAATTGCCTGTGAAGCGCACACTTGATCACACTGTTTTGAATTAATGTAGGAGGAGGAACGCATTTTTGATAAAATAACCTCTCTTTAGTAAACTTAATTAGAAAAACCTAGCAACACAATTCTTGTACAACAATCACTGATGGCTGAAAAGAAATTCAAGGAGTTTCTTTAGATCATGGAGTCTAAACTGCTCACCCAGGGTCCCATCCTTAAATCTGATCACCTTCCTTTTCCTTAAATTGCTCAAATCTAGTAAGTAGCAATTCTTTGAGACTTTGAAAGAACATACAAGCCCTCAACTCATGTGAAACTGTAGCACAAAGGTGCAGACACAAAGCAAAAGCAACATTATGGCATAAAAGGATCAGGGGGCCCTCCGGTTATGTTGCACTATTAACTGGGTATTTCCAAGTCCCTATTTGCCTATGGTCTCACCACTCCTGATGGAGGAGTTCACACGATAACAATGAAGAGAACAATAAAGGCATTGGATTTTGCAGGACAAGTTTCCTAAACAACTTTTGATACATAATACAGTCAGTCCTTTGCATTCTCTGGAGTTTGGAACCTCTATGAAATTAAGAAAATTGCAAATAAGCAATGTAAAGATTTTTTTTCTTGAGAGTATATCTCTCTAGAAATATCTAGGTGGTCAAAGTCCTCTTACTGCAGGACTAAGGGCACATCCAGGCAGCCCCTTTAATGTGGGAGTTTCAGCAATTAAAAGGGGGGCATCCAGATGACATCCCAGAGAAACACAAATTTATCTTCCCCAAACCAGGAAAACCCTGGTTTGTCACGAATTTAATGTTGGTAGGTTTACTACGCATCTTCTAGGAAGGCATGAGATAAACCCACTACTTCCACTGTCTGGACTGCACCCTCAAAAGTTCTGGGCTTTTGAGAGGGCAGTAGTCCTGTGGTTTTCTGGGCTAAATTAGCCCCAAAAAAGTGAGGACAGCAATCCCTTCCCCAAAACCCCCTTTAAAAAAAATAAAAGAATGTACCTGTCCTCCATTAGTGTGTTGTCAGAGCTCTCCTGGCACATAGGAATGACACATCAGGAGAAAGGAGGAAAATTGCTACTGCACCCCCCCCCTTCCCCCCCCCCCTTTCACACCTGCTTAAAAGCTTCCCTCCTTCAATGTCTTTACTGGCTGCCACCATATGATTTTGATTGTCTTAAATTATATATTTTAACTTGCCATAAAATGATCTCTACCATCCCACTATCCATTATACACTGTCAAGTATGATAAAGATCCAATGGGTTACAAGGGCCTACACACTCAGGACCTTTCCACACAGCCCTATATCCCAGAATATCCAGGCAGGAAACCCCACAATATCTGTTTTTAACTGGGTTATCTAAGGGCCCTCCCATGCAACAATATAACCCAGAATATCAAGGCAGAAGATCCCACAATATCTGCTTTTAACTGGAATATATGGCAGTGTGGACTCAGATAACGTAGTTCACAGCAGCTATTATAGGATTTGTCTTGATATTCTGGGTTATATGGCAAACCTAAGAAATGCTCTAACATTCAGAAGGTTCTCTTTTTACTACAATTCCCAAAATGCCCCAATCAATACACCAACTAGTTATGTGACTGTAGAAATAACTAGAAATATTTTATATAACTTTAAAATATTTTTACAATTTTTTGTCTTTGCTGCCTTGCGAACTATTTTGCTAGGTGTCCCACAAGTTTGCCCAATCTACTATAAAGGTGTCCAAACAAAGAACAGATATGCTTATCTGCTGACCAGTTGAGACAGCAGAAAACTCTGTTAATGAAAGAGAGAGAGAGAGGCCAGAAAAGTGCAAGAGAAGCACAATGTATAATTCTCAATTCTGAAAGTGTTTTGGCATGCTGTCGATGGGGAATTATTTCTTTCTCTTTCAAGTTGGGAGTAAACATTCCTGGAGTTGGCTGTAACTGTAAAAATAAAGATAAAGCAGATTGCCTTAATGCTGTTGCTGTGCAGAGCTAACTGTATTTAGTCAAGGCACATTTCAAAGAAAAGTGACAATCCTGATTTAGAAACTGGCCCTGGGTTAGTTTTGCCAGGCAGATATAACCTTGCCTTGCTTTCTTCATAGCGCTCCTGAGATTTACAGCATCCTACTTCCAGGTCCACACCTGCTTAGGACAAAATCTGAATTGAACATCCTGCAAATCAATAATGACTCACCTTCATTTTGGGAAATATTATACTGTATTGTCGAAGGCTTTCATGGCCAGAATCACTGGGTTGTTGTAGGTTTTTTCAGGCTATATGGCCATGTTCTAGAGGCATTAGGAGAGAATGCCTCTAGAACATGGCCATATAGCCTGAAAAATCCTACAACAACCCAAATATGATACTGTTATTTACTCATAATTTCAATCTACCCAGTTTTGTTGTTGAAGTTTCTGTTTTACATAAGCTGTTGCTACTCAACATTTTTTCCTGATGGATGCAGTACTCCAAACAAAGCCATTAACAATACTCTGTTCAATAAGCAGAATATGGAGAAGACTCTACAGCCCCTTCCACATAGCAGTACAAAAACTCACATTATGTGCTTTGAACTGGTTATATGGCAGTGTGAACTCAGATAACCCATTTCAAAGCAGATATTGTAGATTATCTGCCTTGATAATCTGGGTTATACGGCTGTGTGGAAGGGCCCCGAATAAATGGCAGGCGTTTCAAGATGAAAGTTAAAGCTTATTTCTTATTTGAACCTTCTTTCTAATTGACTTCTGATAATAAAGAATAGCTCCAAGTTTATCACCTGGAGGTGTTTTAAAAATAATTATCATGTAATGGAATTACAAGTTGGAACAGTAATCATAACCTATTCCCCTTTCGGGACTCAAAGGCTAGTAAAGGCAGTTGTGCAATAATAACTACTGTAGGTTGGTCCACAAAGCTGATTTAAGTTCATCACCTTATTTAATATCTGAAAATAGGGATTTGGTGGCATAATTCTTCACTTTTATTCTGCAGTCACTTTCATTTAGTTCCAAACGACTGCTTTGCACATTGAATGTACAGGTAGCCTCTGAGTTACAAACATCTGACTTATGATCCCTAGTTAAGAACAGGGTTGAGGCAACCCGTGAGATAAATCTATGCCTAGGAAGGGAAATTTACTTCTGAAGGAATTATCATGAGGAAAAGGTGTCTCCACTGAAGCTTTCTCACCAATCCTTGTTTCCACAACAAGCCATTTTTTTCAAAATCCAAGTTGAGTCCAACTCTGGGGGGTTGGACTCGACTCATATCCATTTTTAAACCGAAGAGCAGGCATTGTCTGTAGATGCCTCCAAGGTCATGTGGCCAGCATGACTGTATGGAGCAATGTTACCTTCCCACCGAAGTGGTACCTATTGATCTACTCACATTTGCATGTTTTTGGACTCCGAGTTTGGCTGAAGCTGGGGCAACCAACAGGAGTTCGCCCTGTCCCGTGGATTTGAACCACTGACCGTTCAGTCAGCAAGTTCTGCAGCTTAGCGGTTTAACCTTCTGCTCCACCATGGCCCCTCACACACACACACACACACACACACACACTCTCACACACACACATTTGGCTAAATTACACTTCAAAAAACTACCTGTTTTGACTTACAAATATATTCAACTTAAAAACACACCTACAAAACCTATCTCGTTAGTAACTTGGGAACTGCCTGTATATTCTTTCTAAAACAGAAAACAAATTAGTTTTAAAATATTTATTTTATTGTTTTTTTATCTCACCATAGCTCTCTGCCAATGGACATTCCCCCTCCCCCTCCCCTGGCTGAGAGGGAAAAGGAAGGGACCGGAGGCTGTTAGGAATGGTGGGAGTTGGAGTCCAAAACATCTGGAGGGCCCAAGTTTGTCCATGCCTGATACATATATAGAGAGAGGGGGCGGGAGAGAATACTCAGGCTGAGGACTGCTGACTTTCTGAATAGAAAGGGCCAACAGTATATGCAAATATTCCAAAACCTGGAGGTACAAAACCCAGAATCCCAAACACATTTGGTCCTAAATATAGGCATCCTAATGGTAAACAAACAAACCCAGTAAGACAAAAGCTTTAGCTGCACAAACACCCGCTTGGCTGATGAGATGAGCAGGGCAGAGCTCCGTAGAGAGCCAGCCAGGCATTCCCTCGGCCACAGATGGAAGGTGCACATGCCAAGAGAGCCTGGGTGCAGCTACACTGTAGGCTTAATGCGGTTTGACACCACGTGCACTGCCAGGGCTCAAGGCTATGGAATCCTAGGGGAGGTGCTGCTTGTTTACAGGGTCTTTCGCCTTCTCTGGTGCCTCCCCAGACTACAACTCCCAGGATCCCACATCATGGAGCCAAGTGGTGCCCAACTGTATCAATGCTACAGTGCAGATGCAGCCCAGCTCCCCCTCCGGAGAGCAAACGAGAGGGAGCCACTTCTCCCGAGACTCTCCTTACCTGCACCAGGGCCAGCTCCGTGGGCACTGCCCGCCTGCTCGCACGTGGGGAGCCGCGCCTGCTGGGAGCTGTAGTTCTGGCCTCAGCCTCGGCTGAACTACAAGGCCCACAATGCAAGCAGGGCGGAAGGTGCCCCCGGGAAAGAGGCGCTTGCAAACCGCGGCGCTGCGGCTCCCACTGAAAGGAAAGCACTGCAATGATTAACGGGGCCCTCGCCTCCGCGAACTCTGCCCTTCTTTCGCCCCGCAGAGTTGGAAGAGAGAGACTTCCAAGGGCCATCCAGGCCAACCCCACTTTACCATTGGAGGAACACACATTCAAAGTGCCCTCGACAGATTGGCCATCCAGTCTCTGCTTTAGAGAAGGGTCCACACTCCATGCTCCCAGGCTGTGTATTCCACCGCAGAGCAGCGCTTACCACCAGGAGCTTCTGCCTCATGTTTGGGTGGCACCTCTTTTCTTGCTCTTGGGATCCGTTGTGTCCGTCTCCAAAACAGCAACTGCTGTGGGCTTGGTTTCCCTTTTGGAAATGGCCAGAAAAGCGGACCGAAGAGGCTCAAAAGGACTCCTCCCCCCTTTTTCTCCCTAGGAAGGAGCCCCACTGAACGCAGTGAGCCTTTAGAGGAGAGCTAGGCTAGAGGAGAGCTAGGCTAGGAACGAGAGACCAGATTGCCAATATCCGCTGGATAATGGAGAAAGGCAGGGAGTTTCAGAAAAACATCTACTTCTGTTTCATTGACTATTCTAAAGCCTTTGACTGTGTGGATCATAATAAATTGTGGCAAGTTCTTAGTGGAATGGGCATACCAAGCCACCTTGTCTCTCTCCTGAGGAATCTGTACAAGGACCAAGTAGCAACAGTCAGAACTGACCACGGAACAACAGACTGGTTCAAGATTGTGAAAGGCGTACGGCAAGGCTGCATCCTCTCACCCAACCTTTTTAACTTGTATGCAGAACACATCATGCGATGTGCGGGGCTTGATGAATGCAAGGCTGGGGTGAAAATTGCTGGAAGAAACATTAACAACCTCAGATATGCAGATGACACCACCCTGATGGCCGAAAGCGAGGAGGAACTGAGGAGCCTTCTAATCAAGGTGAAAGAAGAAAGCGCAAAAGCCGGGTTGCAGCTAAACGTCAAAAAAACCAAGATTATGGCAACAAGAATGATTGACAACTGGAAATAGAGGGAGAAACCGTGGACGCCGTGACAGACTTTGTATTTCTAGGTGCAAAGATTACTGCAGATGCAGACTGTAGCCAGGAAATCAGAAGACGCTTACTTCTTGGGAGGAGAGCAATGTCAGTCTCGATAAAATAGTAAAGAGTAGAGACATCAGACTGGCAACAAAGATCCGCCTAGTCAAAGCCATGGTATTCCCTGTAGTAACCTACGGATGTGAGAGCTGGACCTTAGGGAAGGCTGAGCGAAGGAAGATCGATGCTTTTGAACTGTGGTGTTGGAGGAAAGTGCTGAGAGTGCCTTGGACTGCGAGAAGATCCAACCAGTCCATCCTCCAGGAAATAAAGCCCGACTGCTCACTGGAGGGAAGATACTAGAGACAAAGTTGAAGTACTTTGGCCACATCATGAGGAGACAGGAAAGCCTAGAGAAGACAATTATGCTGGGGAAAGTGGAAGGCAAAAGGAAGAGAGGCCGACCAAGGGCAAGATGGATGGATGGCATCCTTGAAGTGACTGGACTGACCTTGAGGGAGCTGGGGGTGGTAACGGCCGACAGGGAGCTCTGGCGTGGGCTGGTCCATGTGGTCACGAAGAGTCGGAGACGACTGAACGAATGAACAACAACAGGCTAGGATCCCACCCAGGCTTCACCTCCACCTGAGGCCACCTCCACCTGAGGCCTCTCTTGTAAAGGAAAGCCTTATGTTTCGCCTGCACTGTAGGGGCCCTTCCACACAGCCCTATATCCCAGAATATCAAGGCAGGAAATCCCACAGTATCTTTTTTGAATTGGGTTATCTGAGTCCACATTCAGATAATGTGTGTGAATGCAGTCTGACCCCACTTTAACTGGCATGGCTCCATACTAAGGAATCCTTAGTATGTCTCATACACGCTTGGCCCGGATGAGGGACAGGGCCTTCTCAGTGGTGGCCCCCCGCCTGTGGAATTCACTCCTCGGGGAAATTAGGTCGTCTTCATCCCTCCTCACCTTTAGAAAAAAGTTAAAAACTGGATGTGGGACCAGGCCTTCAGGTCATAAAGCGAACAGTGACAATGACAATGTTGACAATAGCTTGGAAATGGATTGTGGATAAGTTTGATGGCGCATCCAACCACAGTTTTTGGCTAATGCCACCAGAGTGGTAATTCTTAGTAGATTTTAATTGGATTGTTTTAATGTTTTTAACTATTTATAATTATTGACTGTTTGTTTTTATTATGTATATATTGAGGCATCAAATTGCTGTCGATTAGAAGCCGCCCTGACCCCCCCCCCAGGGGGTTGAAAAGGGTGGGGTACAAATATTCAAAATAAATTAATAAATCCTGAGCGTTGCTGGCGAGGCACCAGCTCTCTCTAGCAGAGGAGGTGAAAGCCGTCATAAAACTACAACTCCTTAGCATGGAGCCATGGCAGATCAAGTGGGGTCAAACTGTATTAATCTTACAGTGTAGATCAGGCATGGGCAAATTTTGGCCCTCCAGGACATTTGGACTTCAACTCCCACAATTCCTAATAGCCTCAGGCTTAAGCAGCTGAAGGGGAAAAGGAAAGGGCCTGAGGCTGTTAGGAATTGTGGGAGTTGAAGCCCAATGTCCTGGAGGGAGGGTCAACGTTTGCCCATGCCTGATGTAGATGCATTCTTGCAGTGTGTCCAAACTTTAAGAACTAACACATTTATGCACGAGAACAATTCAACCTCCTCTGAGGAAAATCTGCCATGAATTGTCTTGGGGTGCAGCCACACAGTTTGACATCACTTATATCAGGGGTTATCAAACTAAGGCCCAGGAGCTGGATATGGCCCTCCAAGGTCACTTACCTAACTCTCGCTCAGGGTCAACCTAAGTCTGAAATGACTTGAAAGTACACAACAACAACAACGATCCTATTTCATCTGCCAAAAGTAGGCCCACACTTCCCATTGAAATACTAATAAGTTTGTATTAGTTAAAAAATTTCTTCATTCTGATTATTGTATTGTTTTTTGCACTACAAATAAGATATGTGCAGGGTGCATAGGAATTCATTCATGTTTTTGTAATTATAATCCAGCCCTCCAGCAGTTTGAGGGACTGTGACCTGGCCCTCTGTTTTAAAAGTTTGAGGACCCCTGACTTATATAGTTCAACGTGAAGCCAAAAAATTGAGTTTTTGCAAACCCACGGATACCCAGGGAAAGCCTGGCGGGCTCTGCTAACTGCGTATGTTCCAAGTCGAGAAATCAGGATCTTACCAGCGTGAAGGCAAACAACAGAAGTTTTATTCAATCTGCAGAAGGAACACTTGCATAGCAATGGGTATTCAAAGTATATAAGCATATTGAATATGGGAAAGGCGGGCATATATATACATAAGGGTTCCATGCATTAACATTGCTATGTGTTTGAAACTCCCGCCCAGCCCCCCCGATTGGCTCACGCTGGAGAAGTCAGCCAGCATTTTCCTGGGCTCTGATTAGTACTTTTGGAAAAAGCTGTTAGGAATTGTGGGAGTTGAAGTCCAAAACATATGGAGGGAGGACCCAAGTTTGCCCAGGCTTGGTGTAGATACATTTTTGCATTGTGTCCAGACCTTAAGAACTAACAAGTTTGACCATGAGAACAATTGGACTTCCTCTAAGGGAAACCTCCCAGGATTTGTCATGACGTGCAGCCACACTGTAGAATGAATGCAGTTTGACACCACTTACATAGTTCAACGTGAAGCCAAAAATTTGAGGTTTTGCAAACAAGCGGATACTGAGGGGAAACCTGGTGTGTTCTGCTAACTGTGAATGTTCCTAGTCGAGAAATCAGGCTCTCACCAGCATGAAGGCAAACAATAGAAGTTTTATTCAATCTGCAGAAGGGACACTTACGCAGCAACAGGAGCATGGCCAAGGCTGTTGCCATTATGTAATCAAGGAGGAGCTACAGGATGTTCATGAATTTAACAGGGCATCTGATTTTTAGGAGGATGATCCAGAGAGCATTGTGATTCACTGTGTTGAATGCCTTTGCAAGGTCAATGAATGCCATGTTCAGTGGTTGATTTTGTTCCCTGCATTTTTCTTGGAGCTGTCGTACAGTGAAGATCATATCCAC